CTAAGCAAATGAGAAACAGAACCAAATTAAGCATGATAAATACATCAAATGTTAATAAACATCTTTCTAGTGACATTGAAGGAAAATGGTCTCCACTCTCCAATTAAAAGACAGAGCTGGCAGAACGCCCAGGGACCTGGCCCAGCCCTCCTCTGCACCCAGACACATGTTGTTTGCAAGAGATGCACCTTAGAGGCAAAGACAGCCACAGGCTGAAAGGGAAAGGTTGGAAACTGACACACCAAGGAAAAGGAGCCCCAAAACAAGCAGGAGTAGCTACTCCCGTAGCTGACAGAGCAGATTTCACCCCAGGGTTAACCAGAAGAGACTAAGAAGGTCGCTTCATATTGGTAAAGGGAACAATCCAAGAAGAAGATATAACAATAATAAATATTTCCCCCCAAATATGGGTGCGACTTTTACATAAAAGTCATACTTCTCAAATGGAAGCCCCCGATAGGTCCCAGCGTGATAATACCAGGGGATTTCAACACACCTCTCTCCCCATTAGATAGGTCACCCGGACATAAACTCAGTAAAGACCGTTTGGACCTGGAAAATATTATAAATCAAATGAAACTGACAGACATCTGTAGCATATTTCATCCAACAACAGCTGAACACACTTTCTCTCAGTGGGTCATGGACTTCTCCAAAATAGCCAGGGACCCCAAGGAGCCCCAAGCCCCTTTCTTCCCTTCCCACCAGCTTGCTCCCGCCAGTCCCAGGGCCCCCACGCTCCTCCTGCTCTGGAGGATCTGGGTTCTCCCAAGGAAGAGCTGTCTGCAGAGAGGTCCAGGGAGAAGCAGCCACCAGAACCAGGCTGGGGTCAGAGGGTCAGGGGGCTGCCCAGGTACTGAGGGGTCCCAGTCTCCAGGGAGGCAGTCAGGGTGGAGGGCCTAACTGCACAGCCGCGGGCCAGCCCCAGGCAGGAGCACAGAGCAGCAGGTGGGATTGGGCCTCCCCCTTCTCCCCTGGGACCCAAGGGCACTGCTCCCCACCACCACATGCCCACACGAGAGGGCCTCAGCCAGGTGAACCCCCTCACCCTCCGACCCAGAAAAGGGAACTTAGGGAAGTGTGCATGCCACCAGTTTCAGTCCTGTTCTTAGTCTCTGCAGGGCGGGGGCGGGGAGGGACTTGCACCTCTGGGGACAACAGCCGTGACACCTGGGAGCACAGGACAGAGTAGAGTGGGTGGCAGTAAGGGGCCAGAGCAGGAAGGGCTGGCAAGCGCCCTTCAAGGCCCCACAAGGTGAGTGGGGTTGGCAGGGAGAGGAGGCCACAGGAGGAGAGGACATGGAGCCTGGGCCACAGTGGCCCTTCAGGACCCAGCATCCCACAGGCCACGGGATGTGGGAGGGAGCAAGAGCACAGCCCCCACACAGAGGGCCCCGCACAGCACCCAGGGGTCTGCCTTAGAAAGTGCCAACCAGTGAGGGACAGGAACCAGGGGCAGGGCACTGCCAGGCCACCAGAGCTGGACACACGTCCTACTCACGGACATGAGGGGATGGGGCAGGAGGGGGTCAGAGGAACAACATGGCCTCTCCTAGAGACTGTGGGTATGAGGCAGAGCTAAGGGGAACTCAAGGAGGCAGGGCCAGGGCAGCTTCCAGAGCCAGGTGCAGAGGAAGCCTGGAGCACAGGGACACAGGGTCCAGGCCTCCTCCAGGGGCAGGGCAGGGCCAGCGGGCTCTGCTGGACACAGCTGGCTGGAGAGAGGATGGGAGCCTCGGGGGCTCTGGGAGCAAGGCCAGCCCTGGGAAGAGGGTGAGGCCAGAGGAGGACCCAGCCTCCACTGAGGGAGAGTGGGGTGGGACGAGGCAGCTCTGGGCTCAGGGACCTGGGCAGAGCAGGTGCACGTGAGCTGGGCAGGTGGGGTGCCTGAGAGTCGTGAGCCACCCAGGAGCCACCCCTGGGACCAGGGTCCAAGCTGACACAGGTGAGCTGGGGAAAGCAGGGATGCTGAGGGACCTGGGCAGTCCCGCGGCTCAGAGAACCAAGGGAGAGCAGCTACAGGAGAGCTGGGCAGTGGAGTGCTGGAAGGCTGGGGAAGCCCAGGGCGCAGGGCACCAGGGGCAGAGCATCTGAAGGTGAGCTGGGGCAGGTGGGGGGGCTGGAGGTGCCTGGGAAGCCCCAGGAGCTCAGGGGACCTGGGCAGAGCATCTGAAGGTGAGCTGGGACAGGTGGGGGGGCTGGAGGTGACCGGGAAGCCCCAGGAGCTCAGGGGACCTGGGCAGAGCACTTACAGGTGAGCTGGGGCAGGTGTGGGGGCTGGAGGTGCCTGGGAAGCCCCAGGAGCTCAGGGGACCTGGGCAGAGCATCTGAAGGTGAGCTGGGGCAGGTGTGGGGGCTGGAGGTGACCGGGAAGCCCCAGGAGCTCAGGGGACCTGGGCAGAGCACTTACAGGTAGAGCTGGGACAGGTGGGGGTGCTGGAGGTGACCGGGAAGCCCCAGGAGCTCAGGGGACCTGGGCAGAGCACTTACAGGTAGAGCTGGGACAGGTGGGGGGGCTGGAGGTGCCTGGGAAGCCCCAGGAGCTCAGGGGACCTGGGCAGAGCATCTGAAGGTGAGCTGGGACAGGTGGGGGGGCTGGAGGTGACCGGGAAGCCCCAGGAGCTCAGGGGACCTGGGCAGAGCACTTACAGGTGAGCTGGGGCAGGTGGGGGGCTGGAGGTGACCGGGAAGCCCCAGGAGCTCAGGGGACCTGGGCAGAGCACTTACAGGTGAGCTGGGGCAGGTGGGGTGCTGGAGGTGACCGGGAAGCCCCAGGAGCTCAGAGGACCTGGACAGAGCACTTACAGTTGAGCTGGGGCAGGTGGGGTACTGGAGGTGACCAGGAAGCCCCAGGAGCTCAGGGGACCTGGGCAGAACACTCACAGGTAAGCTGGGACAGGTGGGGTGCTGGAGGTGCCCAGGAAGCCCAAGGAGCTCAGGGGACCTGGGCAGAGCACTTACAGGTGAGCTGGGGCAGGTGGGGTACTGGAGGTGACCAGGAAGCCCCAGGAGCTCAGGGGACCTGGGCAGAACACTCACAGGTAAGCTGGGCAGGTGGGGGTGCTGGAGGTGGCCAGGAAGCCTCAGGAGCTCAGAGGACCTGGGAAGAGCTCTTACAGATGAGCTGGGGCAGGTTGGGGTACATGAGATGCTGGGAAGCCCCAGGAGCTCAGGGGACCTGGGCAGAGCCTTTACAGGTGACCTGGGCAGGTGGGAGTGCTTGGGAACCTGAGATGCCCCAGGAGCTCAGGGAATCTGGGCAAAACACTTACAGGTGAGCTGGAGAGGTGGGGTGCTGGAGGTGTCTGGGAAGCCCCAGGAGCTTCGGGGACCTGGGCAGAGCAGTTACTGGTGAGCGGGGGAGGTGGGGTGCTGGTGGAGCCAGGAAAGTTCCAGGAGCTCAGGGACCTGGGCAGAGCAGTTACGGTGAGCTGGGGCAAGCACAGTGCTGGAGGTGTCTGGGAAGCCCCAGGAGCTCAGGGAGCCAGGGGCAGAGAAACTACTGGTGAACTTGGCCATTGATAGTGCTGGAAGGGCTTAGGAAGCCCCAGGAGCTCAAGGGACCTGGACAGAGCAGTTCCAGGTGAGCTGAGGCAGGTTGGGGTGCTTAAAGTGACTGGGGAGCCCCAGAAGCTCAGAGGACCTGGACAGAGCACTTACTGTTAAGCTGGGGAATGTGGGGGTGCTGAAGGTGCCCGGGAAACCTGAGGAGCTCAGAAGACCTGGGCAGAGCAGTCACAGGTGAGCTGGGGCAAGTGGGGATGCAGGAGGAGCCAGGAACGCCCTAGAGCTTTGGGTGACTGGGCAGAGCAGCTGTGGGTGAGCTGGGACAGATGGGGGTGCTAGAGGTGCCTGGGAAGCCCCATGAGCTCAGGGGACCTGGACAGAGCAGTTACAGGTGAGCTAGGGGATGCAGAGGTGCTAAAGGTACCAGGGAAGAACCAGGAGCTCAGGGGACAAGGGGCAGAATAGCTGTGTGTGATTTGGGGCAGGTGGGGTTCTGTAGGTACCCGGGAAGTCCCAGGAGCTCAGGGTAACTTGGCAGAGCAGTTGCAGCTTAGCTGGGGCAGGTGGGGGTGCTGGAGGTGCCCGGGAAGCCCCAGGAGCTCAGGGTAACTTGGTAGAGCAGTTACAGCTTACTTGGACAGGTGGGGTGCTGGAGGTGCCCGGGAAGCTCCAGGAGGTCAGGGTAACTTGTCAGAGCAGTTGCAGCTTAGCTGGGGGGGTTGGTGGTTCTGGAGGGGCCCGGGAAGCCCCAGGAAGTAAGAGTAACTTGGCAGAGCAGTTGCAGCTAAGCTAGGGCAGGTGCAGGTGCTGGAGGTGCCTGGGAAGCCTCAGGAGGTAAGAGTAACTTGGCAGAGCAGTTACAGCTTACTTGGACAGGTGGGGTGCTAGACGGGCCCGGGAAGCCCCAGGAGCTCAGGGTAACTTGGCAGAGCAGTTGCAGCTTAGCTGGGGCAGGTGGGGTTCTGGAGGTGTCCGGGAAGCCCCAGGAGCTCAGGGGACCAGAACATAACAGTTACAGGTGAGCTGGGGCAGGTCGGGGAGCACTCTGTCTGCTGACATTCCCAGAACTCAGGGGAACAGACAATAGCCACAGTGTCCTAGAGCAGGTGGGCGACCAGGGCAATCCCAGAGGTAGAGTCTGAAGGGTCCAGCTACAGGGTCCCTGGGTCCCTGCAGGAGCTGAGCAGATGCAGGTTAACAGGGGCTGAGGAGGGTTTGCAGAGCCCAGGGCGGGGACCTTTTGAGCAGAGGACAGCACAGGAAGCAGAAGCAAAGCACCAGGGGCAAAGCATCCTGCACAGGCCAGTGGGGCAGCAGGTGAGCAAGGGCAGGCCAGGAGTGGCCAGCAAGGGGCTCTGGGCATCCAGAGCACACAGCACAGGGCTGTGCAGGCAGCCCCACTGAGCTCGGGAGGCTAGAAGGGGCTCAGCGCCCACGGCTGCTGTGCTCTGAGCTGGCCAGGAGTGGGCAGGGCCACGGGGTGCAGGGCTGAGGGGGGGCTGCAGAGGGCTGCCCAGAGCAGAGAGCAGGGCTGAGGTGTGCTGAGTTCAAGGTGGGAGGGAGCCAGAAGGGGACAGGAGCTCAGGGAAGCAGCCGTCGGCTGACTGCTGGGAAGAGACTGAGCTTCCAGAACCTGGTGCTTACAGGACAGCTGACCAGGCAGAGCGAAGGGAGCAGGGAAGCTTCCAGAACTGGGAGCAACGGGGGAGGTCGGGGGGTCACAGAGTCCAGGAGCTCATCCAGGAGGGCTCTGCTGGGAAGAGTAGGCCGAAGAGAGGATGGGTGCTTCCGGGCTCTGGAAGCAAACCAGTCCTGGGTGGGGGAGGCCAGCAGAGGGGCCAAGCTGGACGGATGGAGGGCAGAGTGGGCAGTAGGACCCCCAGGCGTTGGGCACCAGAGGCAGAACTGCCGCAGGAGAGCTGGGGCAGGTAGGTTGCTGGGGGACCTGGGCAGCCCAGGGAGATCAGGAACCTGCTGGTCTTGCCCTCCCACTGGCCCCAGATCACCCATCCTTGGTCTCCGGGGCTGTCCACATTCCTCCCTCCCCACAGCACAGGAGGACTGGCGGGAGCAAGCTGGTGGGAAGGGAAGAAGAAAGGGGCTTGGGGCTCCTTGGGGTCCCTGGCAAGGGGCAAGATGGGGCTACAGGGAGAACCAGTGCTGGCCCAGGAGGGCCAGGCTGGGGGAGAGGTCTCTGGGGCTGGCGCTCCCAGATGAGCAGATGGCAGCCCTGGCTGTGTGCCCAGGGCCTTGTGCTGAGGGCTGGGGGTCCTGGGCTGAGTCCCAAGGGCCCTGGGAAGGAAGGCTCGGGAGAGGTCGGGGCTCACAGGTGCCGTGGAGGCCAGGCCAGAGCTGCAGAGGGGCTCTGAGGGGCAGGCAAGAGGGCCAAGGAGAGTGCCCATGGTGCACCTCAGGAAGCAGGGCAGGGAGACCTGGGGAGGAAGGGTCCAGTGAGGAGCCAGAGCTCAGGGCTAGGGGGAGCCAATCAGGAGGGTCCCAGGGGCTGTCTCAGGGCAGGGCCTAGGGCCCAGGGCCAGGACCGAGGGCACTGGGTTGCTCAGAGCCAACTCCAAAACACCTGACCCTGCAGGGTTAGGTCCAAGGCCTGGGCTCTGGGCCGAGGTGCAGGGAGGAGAGCCCAGGCAGAGGTAGCCAACCCCACCCAGAGCAGGACTCCTCGGTAACAGTGGAGGGCACAGGGGACCTGAGAACAAGGCCACTAGTCAGGCCAGATGCCCACAGGAAGCACATGGGGACAGGGAGCTGGTGGGCCCAGCAGGACCAAGGTGGTACCCACCATGGGCAGAGCCCAGGAAGGGGCTGGGGGCCCCAGGGCCACACAGGTCCAGTGGTCATCAGATGCTAAAGGATCCGTGTGCAGCCTCTCCCACAGGGGCAGGGGGTGGCACACAGGGCTAACTGCACAGTTGGCTCTGTGTCCCTCTGGAAGCCCATCAGGAGAGGTCTGGCCTGGCCTGGGCATCCTTGAGGTGGGGGATCACCTAGGGAGGTAGGGCCTACCAGGTGGGTACCTGATGCCCACAAATCCAGACAACAGACCCTGCCTGATGCTTGGGGAGAGCCAAGGACAGCAGGCCTTCTGTGGGCCTGGGTCCATCTGCGTCCAGCACAGCTCACTCAGTATCTTCTCTCTTGCAGCTTCGACCACGGCCCCATCAGTCTTCCCCCTGGCCCCCAGCTCTAGGGACACATCTGGCTCCTCAGTGAACCTGGGCTGCCTGGTCAAGGGCTACTTCCCTGAGCCGGTGACCGTGACATGGAACTCAGGATCCCTGTCCAGTGGAGTCCGCACCTTCCCAGCTGTCCTGCAGTCAGGGCTCTACTCTGTCACCAGCATGGTGACTGTGCCCACCAGCACCTGGCCCAGCCAGACCGTCACCTGCAATGTAGCCCACCCGGCCAGCAGCACCAAGGTGGACAAGACCATTGGTAAGGGGACTGTCTGCACGGGGAGGGGTCCTCTGGAAGTCAGGCAGGTCTGTGCCACCTGGAGAACTCTGCCATGCCTCTCATGCTCAGGGAGAGTGCTCTGTCTCCACCAGGCCCAGGGCAGGCACAGTCTGGATGCCCACGTGTGGGCTCCTGGGCACTGGTCATAGGCCTGCCAAGAGCCATACCCAAGAGCAGCCTGGCCCTAACCTGAGCGCGCCCAGAGCCAAACTCACCCTGTCTCTGCGGGTGCCTTCCTCCCCCATATCTCAGTGACCCCATCCTTCTCTCCTGCAGCTCCCTGTGGTCGTGAACCTACCCCATGTCCACCATGTCCACGTAAGTCACCAGGCCTTGCCCTAAGCCGAAGGAGCGGGACGGGTGCCCAGAGAAGTCTCAGGCAGAGGGCAGGCCCCAGGTGCTGACCCGTGTCCTCCATCTCTCCCACACTAGCTCCTGAAATCCTGGGGGGACCATCCGTCTTCATCTTCCCCCCAAAGCCCAAGGACACGCTCATGATCTCCCTGACCCCCAAGGTCACATGCGTGGTGGTAGATGTGAGCCAGGATGACCCCGAGGTCCAGTTCAGCTGGTATGTAGACAACGTGGAGGTGAGCACAGCTGAGACGAAGCCACAGGAGAGGCAGTACAACAGCACATTCCGCGTGGTCAGTGTCCTCCCCATCAAGCACCAGGACTGGCTGAATGGCAAGAAGTTCAAGTGCAAGGTCAACAACAAAGCCCTGCCAGCCCCCATCGAGAGGACCATCTCCAAAGTCGCAGGTGGGAGAGGGCAGCGGGCAGGGCAGGACATGGGGCTGCCTGGTCACATGGAGCCTGGCTCGGCCCGCCACTGCCCTGTCAGTGACCTCTGTGCTGACCTCTGTTCCACAGGGCAACCCCGGGCGCCAGAGGTGTACGTCTTGCCCCCGGCCCAGGAGGAGCTGACCAAGAACACCGTCAGTCTGACCTGCTACATCCAAGGCTTCTACCCTGCCGACATCTCTGTGGAGTGGGAGAAACAGGGGCAGCCGGAGCAGGACTCCAAGACCACCGAGCCCGTCCTGGACTCCGACGGGACCTACTTCCTCTACAGCAAGCTCAGGGTGGACAGGAACAGATGGCAGCAAGGAGACCTCTACACATGCTCAGTGATGCACGAGGCTCTGCACAACCACTTCACCCAGAAGACCCTGTCCCGGTCCCCGGGTAAATGAGCCTGGCGAGTCCTCACCCCAGAGGACACTGTCACCTTCCCTCACCTGCCGCGTCAATAAAGCACCCAGCCTGCCCTGGGACCCTGTGAGACTATCCTGGTTCTTTCTGAGGCAGAGAGCTCTTGGCACGTCTGGGCTGTGGGCTGTCGGCCAGGCTGCCTCTGAGGCCCACGTTGTCACGGCTAGAGAGAGGGAGGGGTCCCACATGACCAGACCAGAGCCACTGTCTGCCCAGCTGGCTGGGGTTTGCCCCCGCAGGGCACGAGGCTCGGCCAGAGGCTAAGCCTCTCCCAGACCTTCCCCAGCCCCAGCAACTCTGGCTGATCAGGGAGATACCTCTCAGGAGCCCCCAGGAAAGGACACAGCCCCCCTGTCAGAGACTGTCCTTGTGTCCTGATTCCCTGTCCAAGGATCTCTCTGTGTCCGTGCAGGGGTTGACTAGCCATGGGAGTGGGGATAGGCCCTCCCTGCACTGCCCACCCCTGGGAACACCCACATCTGGCAGCCCTGAATGGCCCAAGGGAGGGACTGTCCAGAAAACCACACAGACACAGAGCCCAGACCCTTTGGACCAACCCACAGGGCACCTGCCCACACTCGTGCACACTGGGGCCTCACACGGGCAACATGCACACACCCAGAGCCAGCAAGTGTCCAGTCACTGAACACTCACAAGCACACGGGACCACCCACGGCCTCACACACTGACCAGCTCAGATCCCAGCCTCCTCTCAGGAGGCACCTACACCCAAGCCCTGACACACCCAGGCCCGACACCCACACGGACCCCCACACAGGCACACACCCCCTTACCACAAGATCCAGCTCCCTCCCCAGCGCAGACTGTCCCTGTAGCTGCGGCCACACCACGGACAGGCTCTGCCATCTCTCCAGCCCCTGGGCCTGGTCACCACTGAATAAGCAGGGGCCACACAGGCTACGGGGACATCCCTGCAGGGTCACAGGCCAGCGCTGCCTGGCCTGCCCCAGCACTGACGCCTGGAGCTCGCAGCAAGGAGCGCCCATGAAGTCCAGGCCACCGTCCACAGCCAGGGGGTCTGGATGAGCTGGGCCCCAGTGGGAGGAGCGGGGGGCTGAGGCCCACCAGAGAAGGCCACCAGGGAAACCTGGCCCCAGTCCGCGCACTGCTGGCCCAGCCCAGCGGCCCTTCTCCTGGCCCCCGGGAGGCAGCTCCCAGGTCCCACCTTGGCGCCACACACTGACCACCCCCTCCCTGTCCAGAGCTCAGCCTGGATGAGAACTGTACAGAGGCCCAGGACGGGGAGCTGGACGGGCTGTGGACGACCATCACCATCTTCATCAGCCTCTTCCTGCTCAGCGTGTGCTACAGTGCCACTGTCACTCTCTTCAAGGTCGGCCACACTGTCCCCGTGCTGTCCCCATGCCATCCCCCATGACACCACACTTCCCACAGTCGAGCGGTTCTCCTATGCTCTCCCACGCTGTCCCTGTGCCATCTCCACACTGACCCACGGTGTGTCCCATGCTGTCTCCATGCTGTCCCTGTGCCATCTCCACACTGTCCCACGATGTGTCCCATGCTGTCCCCACACTGTCCCTGTGCCATCTCCACACTGTCCCACGATGTGTCCCATGCTGTCCCCATGCTGTCCCCATACAATCTCCACACTGACCCACGGTGTGTCCCATGCTATCCCCATGCTGTCCCTGTGCCATCTCCACACTGTCCCATGGTCTGTCCCATGCTGTCCCCATGATGTCCCACATGCTGTGTCCCATGCTGTGTCCACTATGAGCTCCATGCTGTCCACCACACTTTTCCCAACGTGTCTCCACCCTGCTCCCCACCTGCCTCCACATCTCCCGACATTGTGACCAACCTGTCCTCCACCTGTCCCTACCCTGTACCCCACGCAATTACCCAAATTGTCCCCTACCCAATCCCTCACGCTGTCCTCTACCCTGTCCCACTGTCCCCACACTGTACACACCCTGTCCCCCACTGTCCTAACTTGTTGCCATCCTGTCCCCCAACTGTCCTCACACTGTCCCCCACCATATCCCCTCCATTATCTCCACCTTTTCCTCATTGTCTCACCTGTCCCCTACACTGTTCCAACCCTATTCCCCACACCATCCCCTGCTATCCTCACACTGTCCCCCACCTTGTCCCCCACCGTCCCAACCATGTCCCCAGACAGTTCCCACATTTCCCCCACAGCCCACACCCTGTCCCCCACATTGTCCCCCACCATCTCCATCCTGTCCTACATTGTCCCCAACCTGTCCCTGATAGTCCCCACCCTGTCCCCACACTCTCCCACCCTGTCCCCCACCATCCTCACCCTGTCCTCACCTTATCCCCCACTATCCCCATCTTGTCCCTCATTGTCTCCACCTTGTCCCCCACTGTCCCCACCCTGTCCCCTCACTGTCCACAGCTCTCCCTCAGGTGACTGTGGGCTCACCTGTGCTGTTCTACAGGTGAACTGGATCTTCTCCTCAGTGGTGGAGCTGAAGCCGACCATCGCCCCTGACTACAGGAACATGATCGGGCAGGGGGCCTAGGCCACCTCCTGCAAGGGGCCCAGGGCCTCCCAGACCCTGGAGGACCATCCATCATGGCCAGCAGCCTGGCTCCCCAGCCACACCTGCCCTTGGACCTCATTGCCCTCTGACCCTGCGACTCACTGACCCTGCAGCCCTGCTCCTGCCCTTTGGAGGACCTCTGGAGAGCAGGCTCTACCCCCAGACTTCAGCAGCCTGGACACAGACCACCCCTGGCCCAAGACACTGGACAGGGCCAGCAGGGGACATGTGCACCTCACCAGGACATCGCTGCCCTCAGGGGGAAAGCCACTCACCCGAGAGGAGGCCGAGGTCAGCTTGCTGAAGTCCACCAGGGCAGAGACAGCTTCGCACTGACCACTCCAGCCTCCCCACTGCAGGGTTTCTTGAGAGAGAAGGTGAAGTCCTCAGAACACTGAGTGGGGACCTCTCACCTGAGCTGGGAAGCTCTGGGCCAACACTCCCCAACAGGGGAGCTTCGGGAAGGGCTTCCTGCGGTCACTCAGATGGCCTTCACTCCCGCCCGTGCCGTGCCAAGCCCCATCTTGGGTCATTCTGCAAACCCCGAGTCTCTCTGGCTCCTGGGAAGCAGCCTCCTGTGTGATGGGGTCTCTGTGCACTGGCCCCTCCTTTGGCGCACCCGCTTCAGAGGTGGGGTTCTACCCACAGGACAGCACCTTGGACCCTCTCTGCATGGGAACAACTAGGGATGGGTCCAGGATGCCACTTCCCACAGTGGGACCCAGCTCCACACCAGGGAGACCACTCAGAAGGACCTGGGCACATGTGGCCATTCCGGGAGGCCTGGCGAGTGCTAGGGCAGAGACCACCTGAGAGGGTGGGCATCAGCCAGGTGTCCCTCTAGGAGAGCACTGGACAGTGTCCAGGCAGGCCAGGCATGGACTGAGGCTGCTGAGGGCACCAGGCAGGTGGGGCACAGGAGGCCAGGACACAGCCAGGCCACAGACGGCGGGTGGACCAGAGCCCCTCCAGAGAGCCCAGGGCCTGGGGAGCCATGGCTGGCGGGCAGTGACGACAGACAGAGGGCCCCAGGATCTGTTTGTGCCATCACTACTCAGGAGCGAACACCGAGTCAGAGTTTCCAGAGAGGAAAAGACACAACAAACAGCAGAGGGGCCTCCCCAGGTGGGCTCAGGGCAGTGGCCCAGGACCTGCACACTTCTGGATTTAATAGGAGAGAACAGAGGGTCCTCCCAGGGGGGCTCAGGACAGTGGCCCAGGACCTGCACACTTCTGGATTTAATAGGAGAGAACAGCAGGACCTCCCAGGGGGCTCAGAACAGTGGCCCAGGACCTGCACACTTCTGGATTTAATAGGAGAGAACAGAGGGGCCTCCCAGGGGGGCTCAGGACAGTGGCCCAGGACCTGCACACTTCTGGATTTAATAGGACAGAACAGAGGGACCTCCCAGGGGGGCTCAGGACAGTGGCCCAGGACCTGCACACTTCTGGCTTTAATAGGAGAGAACAGAGGGGCCTCCCAGGGGGGCTCAGGACAGTGACCCCAGGACCTGCACACTTCTGGCTTTAATAGGAGAGAAGAGCAGGACCTCCCAGGGGGGCTCAGGACAGTGGCCCAGGACCTGCACACTTCTGGATTTAATAGGACAGAACAGAGGGACCTCCCAGGGGGACTCAGGGCAGTGGCCCAGGACCTGCACACTTCTGGATTTAATAGGAGAGAACAGAGGGTCCTCCCAGGGGGGCTCAGGACAGTGGCCCAGGACCTGCACACTTCTGGATTTAATAGGAGAGAACAGAGGGTCCTCCCAGGGGGGCTCAGGACAGTGGCCCAGGACCTGCACACTTCTGGATTTAATAGGAGAGAACAGCAGGACCTCCCAGGGGGGCTCAGGACAGTGGCCCAGGACCTGCACACTTCTGGATTTAATAGGAGAGAACAGAGGGTCCTCCCAGGGGGGCTCAGGACAGTGGCCCAGGACCTGCACACTTCTGGCTTTTATAGGAGAGAACAGCAGGACCTCCCAGGGGGGCTCAGGACAGTGGCCAGGACCTGCACACTTCTGGCTTTGGTAGCTTTCTCCTTCTAGTTTACAGGAACCCCATAATGTCTTTTCAGGTTTTTTCAGAGTGACATTAAACATCCTTTAAACACCCTGTGCCTCTGTGCGCTGCTGTGTCCACCAGCCCCTCCATCATGCACGAGGGGAGGCCACAAGGCCAGGCCAGGCCTGTCCGGCCCTCCCTCCTGCAGCCTCACCCTGCCTGGCTGCCAGCCCTGCTCCCAAGGCCTTTCCTACATGCAGGCACCCTCCTCCCAGCTGGATGCTGCCTGTGCCTGAACAGGTCACTCTGGGGAGCCCTGGGAAGCAGGTGGCCAAGCAGGGTCTCCCCAGCTGGCCACACCAGGCAGGAAGTGTGCGTTCTGCACAGTCAGCTCTGGAAGCCGTGACAGGACGCAGGCTGGACGCTCCAGCAACAGACGCTATCTGCAGTGTCCCGGGGGCCAGGGCTCCTGGGTAGAGGCAGGGCAGGCCTGGGCCTCTCTCCCTGGCTTGCACTCACGGTCTTCTCCTGTGTCCACACAGGCTGTCCCCTGTGCCTGTGGGAGTCCTGGTCTCCTCTTCCGCAGACACAGTCCTAGGGCCTCAGGCCCACCCTGGTGAGCCCATCCCAGTGTGGCTCATCCTGAGGTCCTGGGTCACAACCTCAGCATGTGGGTGTGGAGGCACCACTCAGCCCACAACCACCCTGCCTCCTCTCTTGCAAATGCGCCGTCCCACCCTGACGTCCCCAGCATCAGCTCCAAGTCCCAAGTCCCACACACCCTCCTCCAGGGCAGGTGCTACCCATTCTAGGGCCACTCAGCCCCCAGGACACCCAGGTGCCAAGAGCAGCAGGCAGTGGCACAGGGTGGGGGCGTTTGCAGACACCAGGGAACACAGCCTGGCATGCGAGGGCAGCCCAGTGGAACACAGAGTCCACGGCCAGCCCAGCTCAACTTCCCTCTGAGACATACAGGCAGTGCGGAGGGCGAAGGGGCTCTGCAGAGTCCAGGAGGCAAAGAATTGCCAGGGGCCACTCAGCTTCCCATAGGAGGCCAGCTGTGTCTGTGGACAGAACTGTGTCGACATCAGGCTCCCTCCCCAGGAGATGCTGCAGAGGGGCCGCTCTGGTCCTGGAAGATGCTGCTGAGCTGCAGCCAACATGGACATTGGGAGACAGAGACCCAGCTGGGGGACTTTCCAGCCCGTGCTTCGGGAGCGAGCGCCCCGTGGGTGCAGGAGCAGGAGTTGCCTGGGTTCCAGACGGGCGTTTAGGGGCCAGGCCTCAAGCTGTTAGAAAGTGTTTATTGGGGTCTTTGCTTCAGTGGGCGAGAGACGTCCTGCCCAGGGTGGGGCTGACCCCACTCGAGGGGCACTGCTGCCATGGGAGCCTCACAGGGACCTGGAGGCCAAGACAGGCGTTGGATTTGCTGCCAATGCCCACTGGCAGTGAGCGGCAGGGAACCTGGGCCAGGCTGGGTGTCTGGACAGCTGTGCAGGCCTCAGGACGGGGTGCCGGGTGCAGGAGGGCAGAACTTGGGGTGCGAGCAGGGGCCCGTCCCAACCAAGGGAGAGCACCCTGCAGCCACCGGGCCCTCCAACAGATAAAACCCAGGCCAGAGTGGGTAGGACCAACCCCCCTTGAAGGCGAGCAAGATGGGGACCTCTCAGCTCAGCGCATGCTCCCGTCCTCAGGGCCCTGCAGGCAGGCACCTTCCCCAGCACCCTGGGTAAGGATCAGGCCTCTGTCTTCTGCTGCTGGGGCCCTTGGGGCCTCCCTGTGTCAGGTGAGACCGTGCAGGCCTTGGTCCTGAGAGTGGACAGCCCAGCGAGGCTGAGGAATGGAAGGCCAGTGTCACTCCTTGGCCAAGCCACTGAGAGGGATGGAGAGGTGGCTTCACGTAGACCCTGCCTCCTACCAGGCCATGGCTCCTGGGGAGAGACGAGGCCTCCCAATGTCCTCAGCCCCATTCCTGACATGGTCATCTGGCTGCACCACAACCAGTAGCCGAGAGCGTTGGCTGCAGCCTGGCCAATGTCCTCAGCTACATGGACTTTGAGGGGACACACACCCAACCACACAGTGACAATCAGGGCACATACACATCTGCCTGCACAGAGACCTTCAGGGAACACACACACACACACACACACAGGGACAATCAGGGCACACACACCCACACAGGGACCTCCAGGGAACACCCACATGCACACACACCCACACAGGGACCTCCAGGGAACACCCACATACACACACACACACACATAGGAACGTTCAGAGGACAGACACCTGCCCACACAGGGACCTTAAGGGGACACACATGCCATCCACAGAGGGACCTTCAGGGGATACACATGCCACTCACACAGGGACTTTCATAAGCACACACACCTACTCACATAGGGACATTCCAGGGACACATATGCCCACCCAAACACGGACCTTCAGGGGACCCACATGCCCGCCTACACAGGGACCATTAGGGGACACACACACCCTCCCACACAGGGACCTTCAGGGGACACACACTTCCACCTACACAGGGCCCGTCACATGGCACATGCGCACATCACCCAGCCGCACAGGGACCATTGCACAACACACAGCTATGTGAATCCCACACAGGGACACGATGGCCACCCTGCATCCTGCCCCCAGCGCCCCCTGGAGACCAGGTCAGCCTGGGGTCGGGAGGCTCTGCAGGAGCTCCTCAGAGCAGCGAGCAGGGACCTGGCAGCCTGGTCTGCTCCACGCCTGGTCTCCTGCCCTCTGGACACAGGGGCCCAGCACGCAGGCCGACGTGCTAAGAGAGCTCAAGAGCAATGTTGTCTGGGTGACGAGGCAGAGTGTCCCAGGTTCTGTGGTCACTGCAGTCAACAGGGTGTGGGGGCCAGTTCCCAGGAGAACTGAGAGCACCACTCACATGCTGAGGAGGGAGTGTGAAGAGGGTCAGGAGCAGACGCAACACTGGGTGGATCCATGGGCACCAGGAGGGGCCAGCTGTGCTGCGGCAGGCCAGACAGAAGGGCACTGCTGTCAATCAGCCATCAGTCATCACCTGTCCAGACAGAGGGGCACTGCTGTCAATCAGCCATCAGTCATCACCTGTCCAGACAGAGGGGCACTGCTGTCAATCAGCCATCCGTCATCACCTGTCCAGACAGAGGGGCACTGCTGTCAATCAGCCATCAGTCATCACCTGTCCAGACAGAAGGGCACTGCTGTCAATCAGCCATCAGTCATCACCTGTCCAGACAGAAGGGGCACTGCTGTCAATCAGCCATCAGTCATCACCTGTCCAGACAGAGGGGCACTGCTGTCAATCAGCCATCAGTCATCACCTGTCCAGACAGAGGGGCACTGCTGTCAATCAGCCATCAGTCATCACCTGTCCAGACAGAAGGGGCACTGCTGTCAATCAGCCATCCGTCATCACCTGTCCAGACAGAAGGGGCACTGCTGTCAATCAGCCATCAGTCATCACCTGTCCAGACAGAGGGGCACTGCTGTCAATCAGCCATCAGTCATCACCTGTCCAAACAGAAGGGGCACTGCTGTCAATCAGCCATCAGTCATCACCTGTCCAGACAGAGGGGCACTGCTGTCAATCAGCCATCAGTCATCACCTGTCCAGACAGAGGGGCACTGCTGTCAATCAGCCATCAGTCATCACCTGTCCAAACAGAAGGGGCACTGCTGTCAATCAGCCATCAGTCATCACCTGTCCAGACAGAGGGGCACTGCTGTCAATCAGCCATCAGTCATCACCTGTCCAAACAGAAGGGGCACTGCTGTCAATCAGCCATCAGTCATCACCTGTCCAAACAGAAGGGGCACTGCTGTCAATCAGCCATCAGTCAACACGTGTCCAGACAGAGGGGGCACTGCTGTCAATCATCCATAAGTCATCACCTGTCCAGACAGAAGGGGCACTGCTGTCAATCATCCATAAGTCATCACCTGTGCAGACAGAAGGGGCACTGCTGCCAATCATTCGTCAGTCATCACCTGTCCAGACAGAGGAGACACTGCTGTCAATCATCATCAGTCATCACCTGTCCAGACAGAGGGGCACTGCTGTCAATCAGCCATCAGTCATCACCTGTCCAGACAGAGGGGCACTGCTGTCAATCAGCCATCAGTCATCACCTGTCCAAACAGAAGGGGCACTGCTGTCAATCAGCCATCAGTCATCACCTGTCCAGACAGAAGGGGCACTGCTGTCAATCATCCATAAGTCATCACCTGTCCAGACAGAAGGGGCACTGCTGTCAATCATCCATAAGTCATCACCTGTGCAGACAGAAGGGGCACTGCTGCCAATCATTCGTCAGTCATCACCTGTCCAGACAGAGGGGACACTGCTGTCAATCATCATCAGTCATCACCTGTCCAGACAGAAGGGACACTGCTGTCAGTCAGCCGTCAGTCACCTGCCGCAGTCCGGCTGCAGCAAAATAACTGGGAGGTGACGAGCAACTTGTGTACATTGATACAGCAGGAGTGGGAGCCATTTATTGTAGGATAGGAGGGGTATACATTCCACGCAGCTTATCTTAATTAACATAAACTAGATACAGCAGTCAACCAATAAGGAATCTCCACACTTAATGGCTCGCTGGCATTACTTCACAAACCACTCCCTCTGGCAAAATGCCAGGCGCCATCCTGACTTGTTTACAGACCCTAACAGTCACCTCTTCAGACAGAAGGGGTACTGCTGTCAATCATCCATCAGTCATCACCTGTCCAGACAGAAGGAGCAATGCTGTCAATCTTCTGTCAGTCATCAGCTGTGCAGAGTGAAGGGGCATTGCTGTCTACCATCCATCAGTCGTCATCTGTGCAGACAGAAGGGGCACTGCTGTCAATCATCATCAGTTCCCACCTGTGCAGACAGAGGGGCACTACTGTCAAACTCTATACGTAGCGAGAGGGACAGCAGCTCCAGGACCAGGAAGGGCACCCTGCCCCACAGAGCCCAGGGCTGTACCAGGCACAGCCTCTTCCCACGGGGGCACAGCCATCCCATCGGTGTCTGTCCTGCGCCACGTTCCTGGCAGCACGGCTCCGAGCAGTGACCGTCACCATCCCAACACGCGGCCACGG